CCTTCCTTCCTTCCTTCCTTCCTTCCTTCCTTCCTTCCTTCCTTCCTTCCTTCCTTCCTTCCTTCCTTCCTTAATTGTGAGGTTCATAGATCTTTTCAAGGAAACATGCTTTTTGGAGCATTTTGAACTTCTTAACATGGATGTTTATGAGTGAGTTGGCACCTACCGTATTTTTCAGAGTATAAGACGAACTTTTTTCCCTCAAAAAAGAGGCTGAAAATCTGGGTGCATCTTATACACTGAATACAGCATTTTTTGCCTCCTGACACCCTGCCCCTTCACCAAAATGGCCATGCATAGCTTTTAGGAGGCTTTCAGAGAGCTCCTGGGGGCTGGGGAGGGCATAAATGAGCAAAAACTGGCCCGTTTTTTGCTTAATTTCCCCCCCCCCCCATCAGCGGCCCTCTCTAAGCCTCCTAAAGGCTATCCATGCCCTTTTTTGGGTCACAAAATGGACCTGTTTTCACAAAATCAGGTCTTTTTTGCTCGTTTGTGCCCCCTCCCGGAACACTCTACAAGCCTCCTAAAGGATATTCATATCCTTTTTTAAAAAACAAAAATGGCCAATTTTTATGAAAAACAGGCTATTTTGGGGAGGTTTACAGAGTGCTAAAACTTTTTTTTTAATTTGCCTCTTCAAAACTTTGGTGCATCTTATACTCCAAAAAATATGGTAAATTGAATAAATTAAATATTGCTTCTATGATCAATGTTTCTTAGAGCATATGGATCTTATACGTATGAGTGTGTGTAGCTACCATGTGTCTCTTTCTGTCATGCAGAAAGATCTGTTATCAGGAAGTCTCTCAATGTTTTGGCGTGCTCTCCAGTCGTATTGAAGTTCAGGATGCTAGTGGAGGCACCACTGCATTGAGGCCCAGTGCAAGTACCCAGGTGAGAACCATCAATAATTGTGTTTAGAAATGCCTTGAAAATGCACAGATTTCAATAAAATGCTTAATGTTCTGCTTAACATTCTGATTATGTTTGTAAATCATTTGGAAATCATCTCCATTTCTTATCTGATAATCTAAATTTAAAGATGGCTAGGTACCAGTGCTGGGTTCCGGGCGGTACGGCCCGGTGCGACCATATCTATAGTAGCTGGGAGCAGCGGCCACTTTATCGGTACAGTGGTTCGTTTGGCCCACCCGCCCTCCCTCGTTCCTTACCTGTTCTTAAAGCCACTGGGCCAATTGCGCATGTGGACACAGTGTGCGGTGCCTGTGCGACCTCTGCCAAGCACCTGGGTGTTGCAGGGCAGTGGTATGCGCAGCGGGCGTGCCCAACGAGGATGCCCAGCCCCATGCACAATGCACCAGTTGCACCGGGAGCTGGAACCCACCACTGCTAGGTACTTATTTTGGGATAAAAAAATATATTGTGGCTCAGTTGCATGTTGGGCTTTCTTCAGTGATTTAAATCCTTCTAGCATAGCTTTCCATATTTATTTTGCTTTCTGCCTATCTTTTACGAGGAGGTCTTAGAATGTATTGGTATTTCTTCCAAGTGGACTGATTTTCAGTCCCTTCAATAAGCAGGAAATGTGGTAGTTTTATACTGGTACTTTAAAATAAATTATCTTCCATGACCTTTCTCAATCCAAATATGATTTTATTCTTCATAAATTTGGCATTTCTGATGCAAACCTTCCTCCAAACAGATTTTGCCACAAATTTATTTTTTTAGTTATTTCATTCTAGTGAATGTTCTTTGGACTTATTTCTGTTATCTCTGTGTCTCTAGCTTAAAATGCTTATTTTTCTCTCCATATTTTAGGCTCTTTCCAACAGTGTGAGTTCTAGCAAGTTGTTCTCTAGCAGCACAGCTCCACATGAAACATCATTTGGTGAGGAAGTAGAGGTACACAATCTGCTCATCATAGATCAGCATACATTTGAAGGTATCTGCCTCATAGGCTATATTTCACTGTTTATGAGAGAACTGTTTTGGGGAATCATGGGATTAGGAGAAGAGAGCCATCTAGGATACTTGCTGGCTTGGATCCCTTGAGGTTCCAAGAGGCCATGGATCATCTTGAGGATCATTTTATTGAATTTCTGTAGGTTTTTGCAGTTGCATGCTTTATCCACATTGTTTCAAACTCTGCTGAAGTCGATATTTTGTTGAGCTCTTTAACTTTTTTTTTTTACTGTTTGTCTTCAGTACTCCATGCTCACCAGTTCCTGCAGAACGAATATGCACTAAGCCTGGTCTCCTGCAAATTGGGCAAAGATCCCAATACCTATTTCATTGTGGGAACAGCCATGGTGTATCCTGATGAAGCCGAACCCAAGCAAGGCCGCATTGTGGTGTTCCATTATTCTGATGGTAAAGACTAAAGCCTTTTGGATATCTTTCTCCTTAGAAACAGCTGAGTTGCATGGACTTGTTTCCTTTTATTAATTATTATTTTGTCATAGAAAAAGTGTGTTTGTTCCTAGGTTCTTTTACCCCAAAAGTTTAGAATATTCTTTTCAGTTCTTGAAGAGCCGTCTTGTTTGCTTTATATGGGAAAAAATAACCTGAACATCTGGTTTTTTTAAGAGTTTGGTACTTAAGTTATTTATAAGATGCTGAAGTTACCTGGATGACTTGCAGTAATAATGGTAATATTATTATGTATTATAAAAAAGACCTAGTGGGAGATGCAATTAAATCACTGTAACAGCACCACATATCAGGGTCTGCAAAAAAGGGGGAGGGGCAATAAAAGTTTTAAAGCCTTGGAAAATAGGGGGAAAGTGTTCATTTGACATTTACAAACCCAGTCATCGTTGTCAGCCATTCATTCATGTCCAACTCTTGGCTATACTTATGGATCAGCACTCTCCATGCCCCTCTGTCAGGCACTGCTTCCTTCAGATCCACCATGATTATTCTGGTATCATCCTTTATAATGCCCAGCCAAGGAGTACTAGAGTGGCCCCTTCTCCTTTTTCCACGGATCATTCCCAACATGTTTGATTTGTTTTGTTTGTTTTGCCTTTATTTGTATGCCGCCCTTTTCCCTGGGGGGACTTAATTTTTCAATTAAGCCAGCTTGCATGAGACAACCAAAGTATGATAGTCTTTGTTTGGCAATCTTGGCTTCAAGTGATATTTTTGGTGAGATTCAGTATAGGACTTTGTGATTTTTGCAGGCCATAGGATGTGTAATAGTTGTCTCCAGTACCATAATTCAAAGGTATCCACCCTTGTAATATCTATCTTTTTTAGAGTCCAGGTTTTGCAGCCATAAGTAGGAATTGGAAAAATTATTGCAATGACTGTGAAACTTGGAATAGCACAGAATATTCATCAAAATAGCACTGTTAGCAATAGCTACCTATGTTGTATTGCTAAAAGGGAGCACAAGATCTCAAATGATAATCTCAAAGTATGGTTAAATGGTCAAATAAGGAGATATATTCTGATTCCTATTCTCAAGAGCAGCCTAAGCTTTTTGAGCTCTCCCATTGATTCTTTCATAGTGATTAGTTGCATGCTAGTTGAGCTAAGAAGTCTTTATTTTCACTTCATTTCACTTCATCAAAAAAATGGATAGTTCAGGTGGAATTACCTAGACAGATTTATGACTGTTGAAAATGATGAATAATATTTGGGGTGATATTGAGTAATGTTGCAGAATGACAAAAGAGCCTTCAGAAAAGTTGGTAGAAGTTTAAACTATTATAGTTGTTACAGATTAAGTGTATACCTGGCTTTATTGTATGTTATGTTATTGTTACAGAAGAAGATTATTACATAGCACCACATACTTGCAAATAGACTGATAGTTTACCCTGATTTTGGGGGCAGAATTAACTCATTTTAGTCATTATATCTATGTGGCTCCTAAGAGTTGATACCAGCTTGATGATACATAATCAGAAAGAGAGCCAAGGGGTTTTCTGTTCACTTCAACATTTAAAATTTCCTGAATGTTTAGAGTTCTGTAGGTGAGTCACCATCTTTATGAAGAGTTCCTGGCTGAGGCCAGCATAAAGAGATTGTAACTGTTAAAAGAAAGATAATTAAAGACCTCCCTGACATACACCAATTTTTCTATGTCATGCTCACGTTTAAGGTTGGGTATTGCAATATTTCAGAATTGGCGTTCACTTGCGGCTAGCATTTACATTACTCTGGATCCATCGTGAACAAAATGCTTAAATTAACTTCTGGAAGTTTTCATGATAGAATTTTAAAAATATTTTGTAATGTCATACATTTTATAACAAATTAACTTTATGCTGCAGAAAGCAAGGAGGGCTTCATATAATCCAAGGGGAAAGCTTCATTTCATGGCATAATATTGAGATATTTTTGAGGCTGTTAATTTTTTGTTGTTATTTGTAGCTACACCATGAAATGTAAGGAAGCTGTGTATTTTTCAAGTCTTAATTAATGTATTAATGTGTATCCTAGGTAAACTGCAGAGTCTGGCTGAGAAAGAAGTAAAAGGGGCTGTCTATTCCATGGTGGAATTCAATGGAAAACTCTTAGCTAGCATAAACAGCACGGTAAGGTTTCCAAAGCTCTCACATCGATATTTCCTAAAACTGGATTTGCTTAGTGAACTGTGGAAGAGAAATGTTTTGGACTCTGCAGTATTGTTCTAGATCTGTTTTAGCCTTACCCTTACAAATCTGTCTTGTCCTAACAGGTGCGATTGTATGAATGGACAGCAGAGAAGGAGCTTCGCACCGAATGCAACCATTACAACAACATCATGGCACTCTATGTGAAGACAAAGGGCGACTTCATTTTAGTTGGAGATCTTATGCGCTCTGTACTTCTGCTTGCCTATAAGCCCATGGAAGGAAATTTTGAAGAGGTATTAATTCAGTTTTTACCTTAGTGTGTATAATGGAAATTGCAATACAAAATTTAAAAGAATAGAAAAATATTTGGTGGCAGAAGAATCTAATTGTGTGTGTGTTTTTTTTAAAAAAACCAGTGCCTAGGTTATCTTAAGTTGGCCTCTCCATTTCACTCTGCATTTAAAACTGGTAGAATTCTACTTCAGGCCAGAAAAGTCTTATCCTTGTGGAAAATAGATTGACTTAGTTGGTAGATTGACTTGTATATCGTTACAGATTGCTCGTGATTTTAATCCGAACTGGATGAGTGCTGTGGAGATCTTGGATGATGACAATTTCTTAGGGGCAGAGAACGCGTTTAACTTGTTTGTGTGCCAGAAGGACAGGTGAGATGACCTTCTAAAAAGGTAGGCCAAAGTGAGCAAATAATAGGTTGGGACAAAGGGTTCACCCTATCCTTTTCCTAGTAAACGTTTTGTATTGCAGTGCTGCGACAACTGATGAGGAGCGCCAGCATTTACAGGAGTTTGGGCTCTTCCATCTGGGTGAATTTGTCAATGTCTTCTGTCATGGGTCCCTAGTCATGCAAAATCTGGGTGAAACATCTACACCAACACAGGGCTCAGTGTTGTTTGGCACAGTCAATGGAATGATTGGTAAGGTTAGATATTAAGCCAGAAAATTTTGCCATCTCCCCATATAGTCTGGTACTCGGGGAGGGCTTATCTGGCACTAAAATAATATCTATCCTTTGTTTCCAAAGTGATCTTAGAGTAAATAGATAACTTAGTTTCTTTTTAAAAATAATGCTCTGTCTTTATTCACAGGACTGGTGACTTCTCTGTCAGAAAGCTGGTATAATCTCCTGTTAGATGTCCAAAACAGGCTCAACAAAGTCATTAAAAGTGTTGGGAAGATAGAACACTCTTTATATCCTTTCTTTCTTGTGTTTCTCTTTAACATACAGAACACTTGTGACATTAGTCATACAAGAACCACGAATGGTTCCTGCCTACCAGCTTATAGTTTGCAGCATAGAAACAAATGGTTATAGATCAGTAGTATGAATGTATTCATTCCTCTTACATCTTTAAGAAAAACTAGGGATAGGATACTGTATTTCTAGTCACGGTTATAATTTATGTCCTTCTTGACTCCCTTACAAAAATTGCTTTTGCAGGTTGAGAACTCTCTTGACTGGAATATTTATGGGCCTTGGAGAAGTGGTAATGCAACACCAGATTAAAATGAGCATATTGGTGCTTTAGCAGTGCCAGTCAAAATAGTTCAGCTTTTTTTTAGGAATTTATATACGCTATAGATAACATATAGAACAGCTAGAATTTAGTCTGATTAATTATGGTTTATTAGATATAATTGACTGGGTTGACAATAAATTAAAATTATAAATCATTATAAACAAACTATAGTAGATGGGTAAAATAGCCAGTGTATTTTACATTATGGCTTAATATTTTGTGTGAAGCAGATCAATAGCTACTTGCCAGACACCATAGTTCGCGGGTGTCAAATTCACTTTGTCATCACGTGATGTTTCACAAAGTTTTTCCCCTTCGCAGAGCTGGGGTGGACATGGCTTGAGTAAGATGCATCTGGCCTCCAGCGCCAGTTTGATACCCCTGCTATAGTAACAACAAGCTAGTCTTCTATGAATTGTGGGTAATTTAAGGTAAAATTTAAAGGTGAATTCTAAACAACATAAATAAGTGGTTACCATGATACCGAATAATTAACTAGAAAATCTGCACTCATTGGCATCTGCAATCAATCTACATAAAAAAAATATGAGTGAAACATGCCAAGGAAAACAAACAGCATGAGAGAGGAAGATATTCATGGCATGATTAAAATATTCAAGGTGGTGACCAAAATTGAAGAACTATGCTGCATTTAATAACTTTTCATTTTATTAATTATTGTTAAGTCAATAATAAGTAGGTATTATTTTAGATTGGCAGAATTGTCATGTTTTGCTTTCAGGCTTACAGAATAAAAGTTTGAGACTTATAATGGAAAATATTTTTATCATTGAACCTCCATACAGTTTATGGGTTACATAGAGACTGGGCCAAAGTCTGTTGATAATTATGTATAATTCTCCAGGTATATACTTCATCATTTCATTAAATCAAGTTCTCTTTCTCCTCTATGAAGTATTATTTTAAAAACTCAATATTGAAGAAAATTACTGTTTCAAAAGAATGTATTTTCTTTTCAGTTTTTGAAGTATTTATAGTCGTGTGTATCAATAAAACACCTTTCATTTGTTGATGGCCAGTTGGCCATTATTACATGGGTAATAAATTCAGAATTTATTTGTAGTTTAAGATGTGCATGTTATGCATGCCATACCATGTTCTTGCAACATTATCTTCTGTGTAATATTCCATACATCAAATATAAGTCCTATATAATACATTAAATATAATATATTTTTTAAAAATATAACCAGTAACTCTGAGATTTGGAATAGTACTATCGTTAAATAGCAAATATTAAGAATTACTAAAATGTTTTCAATGTTTGCCTAAATTATAGTTAATATTGAAATTATTTTGTTCTCCTGAAAAACTACCTGACCTTTTGAAAAAGTGCTCTTCTGTCGCATGAGAATACAATCTGTCATCTCTAGATGAGGATTACTATTATGTGGCGCTATGCACTACACATATGAGTAGGTTGCTGTAATATTTGATTTTGAACACGTAGGCTGAAGATTCTCAAGATTGTAGTTTGAACTGGTCTGCTTGTATAGGATGTGAGGAAGAGGAAGATTAAAGACTTACACTGCACTATTGGTTCCGTTCTGGGTGATAAGTTAGGGGACCGTTCACGCCACATACTTTTGTTTTTATGGGAAAAGTGAAGCCATATTTTGCTGAGAGTTTTATTTCCTTGATTCTTAATTTTACCTGGAGATCATTTCATACAGAACGCAAGACAGAACCAGCCACTGGATTTATTGATGGTGATTTAATTGAAAGCTTTTTGGATATCAGCCGACCTAAGATGCAGGAGGTGGTGGCTAACTTACAAGTAAGTTGAGAAAATTACCCGTGTTGAGACAATCCTTGTTGTTGGCCATGACTTCGATTCTGTATATGCTTATTTGAAGTAAAGTTATGAACTGGGGTTTTGCAATATCAGGATTAAGAAGAGGTATATACGCTTGCCCTTCTGTCTGCCACATGACTTTACTTCACCTCTGCCTCTTGCCTCCTTGTTTCAGATTGACGATGGCAGTGGAATGAAGAGGGAAGCTACGGTAGATGACTTGATCAAGATTGTGGAGGAGCTCACTCGTATCCATTAGCTGAATTAGCTGAATGAGAAGATAACTTCCTGCACCTTCCTTCAGGATAGCATATGGAGTCTTTCCCAACTGGTTTCCTCGCCAGTTTCACTGTAATGCTAGAGCAGTAGCAATGTGCCTGAAGTGGGAAATCTCTGAACTGAAGCCATGTTGCTAAAGACTTGCAAATGCAGTGTTGGCAGTTGACGACATTGTATTCTGCTTGGATTCACCATTCATCTGCCACCTAATAATGGTCCCAGCAGGTTTTTCCCTCTGAGTAACAGCAGCTGGCAAAGATGTCCCTCTGCCTAGACTCTTTCCACACTTCATTTGCTGTTGTCTTAGAACCTCTGATTTTATTTTGTTCCTGGTGTTTTTAAGTGGAGGTCTTTCCCCATACCCCTCTTTGTTTGGATGAGAAGGTGGCTAGATGGCTGCAGCGGCTGTTGGAAAGATGGAAGTGACATTTAACTCTTATAAGGTGCTTTCAGGATTAGGGCTGCTTAATCTCGAGGAACCCAATTGTGGGTAGCAGCCTCTCTATTCCAACAGCTTTGCTGCTTATTCAGGGAGAAGAGACTAGATTGCAATTTTTTCTGTTATTGGTTTTGAAAATTTTACCAAATAAAAGTAGTCCAAGAGGAAAGGTTTGGCTGTTGTCAAAATCTTTTCATGCTTTTCTGAACTCCTTTACTGAGGAGGAAAGAAACTTTGTTCTCTCATGTTTTATATTTCAACACTCCCATTAGTCTATAAGAAACTAACTACTCTCATTTTGTTTTTGTGTTTTCTGGTCAATTAGCTTGTAGACGTTTTTTAAGGGGATGACAATATACCTCGTTACCTCTTTTCTCTCTCTCATTCCTGCCAGTAGGAGGCAGACTTTTAAGAAGAGGGTGGTGGGATTTTGTTGTTGTTGGACTGATAAGCACAGGGTTCTCACTTCTCATTGTTCTGCTGTCACATATTAAGAATTTTCATTCCCTTCTAGCGTGTGAGAGTTAGAAAATATTTTTTTTGCATTGGACATTTTACTTAATTTTTCTCCCTTTTTTTTGGTAAAAGCTTGTCATGACAATTCTGTGATAAGAGTTTATGGGCTGGGGAAAAGGCTCTTCTTCAAATTCATCCCACAAATTCACATCATTGCATCACTAAATGCCAAAATTAGAGTGAAAATGCTTCACAATTCATTGATAAAAAGTTAAATGCACAGTGCAGCATGCCTCTACTGGATTTGGCTTCAACATTTTTTACCCATTGTCATGAGATCACTCCATTCTCTTTCTCAGTTGGAAGGACAAGAAAACCTGATGTATGGTGGACTTTCAGTTCCATCCGCAAAACATGGGTGCTTGTTTGATGTGCAGTTGGGAATGGGGTTTATTTTGTCCTTCAGGATCTTGAAAGCATTTGAGAAAAGCTTAAGGAATTGTAAAAATGGAAAAACAACCCATAGTTCTTTGATATGCTCAGCAGAGGACAGAATATTTGTTAGGTGTTTCTTGACTTATAACATTCAATTAATGATGGTTCAAACTTACGATGGCCTCAGAAAAATTGACTTATGATCTGTACTCACATTATGACCATCATGCCACCTCCACAGTCATGTGACTGCAATCCAGGAACTTAGCAACTGGTTCCTATTTACAAGTATACTTGCAGCATCCTGCAGTAACATGATTGTGATTTAATGAACTTTTTTTTGCAGTTTTCTAGCAAGAAAGGCCCATTGGGGAAGCTGGACTTGCTTGCCCATCAAGTGATTTGACTCACGACTGTGTGATATGCTTAATGATTGCCGTCAGTGGAAATTCTGGTCCCAATTATTTGTTGTAAGTCAAGGACTATCTGTAATATGTTGGAAAGGTCAACAACTTCTGGTACCTGCAGCATGTACAGTGTGAAGCAACGTCCTGTACAAATTTTTCTCATGTACTAGGTGATTGTGCTCTCCCATATTTTTTTAAAATCATGCCCCAAACATTGTTGATGGCATGATCTGTTTAGATATATTGCTTATGTTGCATTTCACACCTGCTTAGATAAGGTGTAAAGGCTTGTGACAAATGGAACTAGCTTTCTGTAAAATGGTATATTTTGCCAAAAGATAAACACTTGGGGGAAAAAGTACTTGGAAAAATATTTGAAAATGTTTTATACAACATTGAGGTTCTGAAATCATATCTTCAACCTGTGATATTAATGGCTAACCTGCTTGGTAAAGTAGAATACTATCAAAAAGCCTGTCTCTATTCTTGGGAGGAATGTGGACAGAAATGTGAGGTTTCAGCTATATTAAGACTAACTGCATTCAGCAGTCATTTAGACATGGCCTTAAATAAACTACAAGCATTTAATTGTTTTCATTACATTTGCTGTCCCTGCTATAGGAAACCTGCTATGCATGAATATTCAGATAACTGAGCGAGCATAATATTGGTGGCTTTTGTTAAAATTACAAAAACTCTTTTGTATGGTATACATACAAAAAGTGTGGTGTTGGTCTCACAATGGCAGAATGCTACTTTCATTATTTGTCCCACCCCTTGTGTGGATATCCCTGATTCTTATTGTGAAATCACAGTTGGAAAGTATCCCGAATGGAGGGCGGGGGGGGGGGGATGGGACATGCATGCCAAAACTGCTATTAAAAGAAGGCGTCTATACATATTTTTGAAGCCCCTCATCAATCTATATTGTGCTTGCCTTATATTTCCAAATGAATATAAGAGGCAATGCAGTAATATGTAGTAAACATTGTACAGTGTATTGAAATATGTTCCTGTTTTAGTACATTGAATTTCAGAGTGCAATTGATAACAAAACATAGTCCTTTTTGATAGGATACTAATACACAACATGGGAGAAAGAGAGAAATTTCAATATTTGCATAGATGTGTGATACTTAGGGGGAGTATATTCATATAATGTTACAAGTGAGTCATTTCAAGAAAGAACTGCAATGTTCTTTTTCACTATTTTTAATAGTAATTTTATTAAATGTTACAATTAAAAACTAATACAAACTAAAAAAAGTTGCATATAAAAAAAGAAAAAGTATAGTGAAAATATAAAGAAATGACTTCACTTTTTATCATATCATGTAAATATTTTGGTAACTTATCGCCTTTTAAACTACAACAAATGAACTTTTCTTTCCATATCCCATTTCTTATCTACAAATGATCCTTAATGCCTCCTTGTTTAGTTGTGCTTAGCAAAAATCCATTAAGGGTTAACAGAGATGATAACATAACTTTAACCTTGATCAAATAAACCAACTTTATATTCTTTCTGTTTATTTTTAACAATTAACAATCAGATGACTGCAGAGAAATACAATCCTTCCACTCATGGCCCCCCCCCATCTTATCAAACCTAACCTTCCAACTCTCCACCATCCAGTCTAAACTGTCAATACCTATCCTTCCACGTGACCCGTCAAAACCGCGGAGGACAAAAGCGCGCTCGACGAAAGCGCGCATTTGACGTCATCACAGTGCGACAAAAAAAATAAACATTGAAATAAAAATAAAATTAAAGCAAGCCAATTCACATAAAGGTAAGGGTTAGGGTTAGGGTTAGGTTAAGGGTTAGGATTAGGTTTAGAGCGTTAGGGTTACGTTTAGCGTTAGGTTAAGGCAGTGATGGGCAACCTTTTTGGCGTGGTGTGTCAAAAATCGGCAAAAAATCTAGCATAACTCGCGTTGTGTGTCACTT